TAAACCTAAGCTACGCAAAACGTATTAATAATCGAATTAACTATTAATATAAATTATGTTTTCCGAGGACTATGAAAAAGGTCCTCGGAATGTGTGTATGTCCTCGGAAGTAGCCATATATATGTATTTTTGTCCTCGCAACATATAGCAATCCAAGTACACCCAAACACACACACACACACACACACACACACACACACAAAGAAGCATACATGTATATGTGAAAGAAATAGAAGTCAAAGTAACGGAAGATTATAATAAGTAAAAAATTAAAAGAAACAAGGAATTGCATGAGTGCATGAGGCACCTAGACATCCTGGTGCATAGACACACACCTGCTTATCTATTTATACAAGTCTCACAGAGTATAAAGCATTTCTACATATACTAGTATAAGTTGCATTCATAAAATATACAAAATGACAGAATAAATGAAATATTACTGGTAACATCAGACTGATTGCAATATATGATTTCAAAGCTGATTGACAGTCATAGCATTTCATGCACTACAATGAATGTTTTTCCCAGCAATCTAGAGAACATCCAAGTAAATCTAACTAAAACATTTGAGAAAGAGACATTTACAACAACGAAAAACATGTTTGTGTTTAAAATTTCCCGCTGCAGTGAACATGTACACAGTCAGAATTCCTGAAAAATTTCCATAATAATATATTTTTTTTTATTTTAAGTAAATGTAAATGAACTCCAACTTTTACACATAATAATATAAACTAATTCCTTCTAAAAATGGAAGTACTTTGATTTCACAAACATGCATAAAAATATAAAATAAAATATGGCACAATTTTAGGAAACAACCACCCCTCCTCACCCCAGCCACCCCACAAACATCAATCCATTTCTCATCCCTGAATTTTTACAGCTGATCACCCATGCAATAATGGTTTGATCCAAAATGTTAAAACATCTCTGCAATCGGAATAGTTTGTCCCAATTTGTTGTAAATTTAAAATAAACTTTAGTATAGGTTTTGAAGAGACAGCTTTGTTACAATTCAATACATAAAGAAATATCAAAATTACTAGAAATATAGATTGACTATGTCTACCATTTTTCATTTTCATCACCTATCTTTTTTTTCTTCTTTTTTCTGTAGATATATTGGAGTTACAAACGATGGTTTATATTTCCTGCAAATAAAGCATAAAACGTCATCAATATTATGAACTTCATTTATTTAAAAACTGTCTTTTGTGCCAAATTGATATCTTGAAAACTCAATATTTGAAAATGATATTTTGGTGGAAAAAAAAATTGTCAATTATGGCATAGGACATAGGAGGAATACTAGTATGCAAATTTATTTTATGCAGTACCATTTAGCACTTATCATGACTACTTACGAGTACTGTGAAGCAGGATCACCAATGATAAACAAATGATTCTTCTTCATAAACATTCTCCATGTAGCTTTGTGGTATCCACGCACATCCAGATCCCAAATGTGAAAACACTAACAACAACAAGTATGGAAACATTGTTTAGTTGAGTTATTTCAAGTAACTGAGAGAAAAAAGTAGTCGCATTACATAAAGTTTGAACAGTCAAAACATGTCAGAGATATGACTCCAAAAGAGAATCACTAAAAGAAAATGGCCACCACACAGCCATTTTGTGTCTGATTTGACAAACAAAATGATGTGCATTAAATCAATTGCTGTATTAAGGTAGCGAGACTATTATTTGCATACTTGTTTTCATCTTCTAATTGTGACTAAATGACTACAAATAGACCCGGGAAAGTATATATTTTTAGAATCGCCAGACTTCAAGCTTTTCACAAGTGTATTTTGCATGCCCGTATCTGCATTCTACGACGCGTTACTCAATCAAAGGTGAAAAATTACTTTTTCTGTAAAAAAAATAATTACGCATTTACGCTGGCGATAAGAAGTATTTTTTTCACTTTTCCTAGTTGTTCAATAGTCTAGTAAATTGAATGTGTCTGGTCAGTTTTATTCAAGCAACGCGTTTTAAAAAATAGTGTGCTGAATTTCAATTACTGTTTTAGTCACATTGCCCCCAACTCAAACCACAACTCGTTGGTAAATAATCGATGAAATAGTTTGTCTGGACACATTCAAGTTCCTCTCATTGTCACCTTAAAGCTGTGAAAATTTGGTGTTAATCCGTGA